CACACACACACACACACACACACACACACACACACACACACAAGTCCTTTGCTTGCCCTTGTCGAGATAAATGCCGGACTAATCGCTGACCAAACCATGCCGTGTTTTAGAGTCAAGAATGAGGTTATTTTCTTGCTTCGTTGGCAAAAAAAGGAAAATRTGTTTGCATCTAAAGAGTTCTTTTGAAAAAAGACACAAAGTTTAAAAGAACATCGAAGAGGAAGCCTTAACTTGAATGCACTTACCTGTCTAAAAACTTGATGTGCTTTAGAAAATAGTCTTTATAGATTGGCTTTAAAATGCCTAAAGTGCATAAAAAGTGCAGACCTTTTAGGGTTCAGGASGCTGTAATCTGCTGTCTGCTTTGATTTTTTTTTTCTGCACAATGACTCATTATATTTTCAAAATCGACTTGTAGTTTTAGTCAAAAGTTGTTTTGAAGGATCTGTTTACCAAGCAGCTGCTACAGTTATTCTTACAGCTTTAATTGCAACCAGACATGTTTCTGTGTAACATCTGTGTGCTGTAGCTTCCTGAGGGGKTTTTAATGACAAACACCAAAAGTTGGACACTTTGGATCATTTCTGAAGTTGTTGAGTAATTCACAGCCCATTAAATAATTATCTGCTATAATTGTTCCGTCCAGTGTTTACAATAGATCTCGCTGCTTTCTGCTTACCCAGGTGCACTTCTGAAACAGGAACGACTGTAAGTGAAAAACAAACTGAAGCTTTGGTCCCATCGTATGATCCAGCATGTTATTATACCACAATCAGCTTCTCAGTCATCCAGGACATGACTAACGTAGACAGTTGAAAAAAAAAAGAGAAAACAGTTGAACTTCTGTTTTGTAGCTGCAGAGAGTGGAGCTCTAAGGTTTAAACATTGGTATCAGAGGTGTACCAATATACTGTATTTATTCATGTACAATCTTGAGTATAATACGACCATTTTTTTGAGCTTAAAAAGCATAAAAAAATCTAGTCATCAATAACCTGTGTATAATACTACCCCCACTTTATGGTAGATTTTTAGGGTTAAATTTCTAGTATTATACATGAATAAATACTGTATTAATCTACAACAATATATCAATTAAATTATAGAATCAGTTACATAAAAACAAAACACAAACATTGATCCATATCAGCATCAAATGCCCGTCTAACCAATAATTTAGATGGGCATATAATGTTGCATCATATCGATTGCAGACCTGTGGATTGAACTAAATTGASATCGTATCATGAAAAACTTTGTGACGTGGAAAAACATATCGTCAAACAAACTGATCTAATATTGTATCATGATAAAGCCGGTGATTTCTACTCCAAGCTGGTATCCATATCTTGATTGATGTGTATACTATGAACTCAGTGACGTAACATTTCAGACTGAGATCATTTTTTAAAAYATCATATGTATCGGATTTATTAACATATATGAAAGATCTGGGTCTGATCACAAAAAATTAGATTAGTCACGTTCGGGCTGTAATAAATAAAAAAAATCTAAAATGGGTCACATATGGGCAAAAATAATCTGATTTGAGTCACTTTTGCCTGAACTGTGAACTTAGCTTGTGAACTTAACTTCTACTAATGTTACATTAAGTCTCTTGTGCTTTTTAAATTCTATTTGGCTGCACAATATATTGAAAACATATTGATATTTCAATATTGATATTACAAAATGATGTCGCAATGTTGAATAATAATTATATGCTAATTCCTAATATTGTTCAGTCCCGTCTTCCACACCTAATATTTCAGGATATTTTGATTTTACTTTTCATCTGTTTATCACTTTTATCCCCTCTTTCCTCTTTTCTCATCCCCCACATTTCCTCCTTTACTTCTAAATATATCGTTCTGCTGGATTGGGAAACTGCATGAAATCATGTAGGCATATTTGAGTAATCCAGTAACAGAGAAAATCTGTTTTTCTAATGCTTTAAAGCAATTGACTTCAGGTTAAAAGTGGGRTTTTTACATTTTAGCCTTCCACTGCAGCAGAACGTGGCTGCTGGCCAATAGGAATTTTTTTTCCTCCCCTTCAGAAAAAAATAAAATAAAATACCAACAACCCAAAAACGAAGCTCAGGGTCATGTGGCTGGGAATCATTTTGACTCTCAAAACTTTGGAAGAGTTGAGCTTTATTTTATCCTTCACGTGTACACAAGAAACCTTTTTTTTATTTCCTCTCTACTGTTTCCAATTTGTTATTTTTTTTACATTTTCTCTCAACACATGCAGTCTCATTACATCACCACTCTGCTCAGTTTATTCGTATTTCTCTGCCTCATCTGTCTGCAGGGAAAATTGACCTCATAAAAAWTGGAAAGGATTATTTAAGAGAAAAAAGCAGCCTAATGAAAACCTATTATTGTCCCACAATGCACTGCRTCTGGTGGCTGCTGATGGTCTTGTTTCAGGTGGGGGTGATGGTTGGATTTCTGCTCATTTCTGCTCTTTTATTAGTTGTCTCATTGTCTCATCTTTATCTGTTCTCATTTTCTCGCACAATCCTGGTCTTTTTTTTTCCTGCTGCTTTTCTTATATTTTGCTTCTTTTTCATTTCCTCTCTCATTGTGCCGTCTCTGTTGTTTCACTGCGGTTTGCAGGGATTCATTTCCAGACTATGTCGGCACCTTTATGAATCAGTAACCCATTCATGAAGCATCACAAAGCACAGGAATGACCCGCTTTGTATTTCAGAATATATGTGTCATTTATTAAAAGGTAATAAGTGTGTTTTGGTCTCTGTTTTGTGCTTTAGTGGCTGATGAGAGCAACGTGGGATCACTAGTGGGCCACAGAAAGGGTGAGTGATTGATATAATCAAAATAAATACTTTTAATTTCCTTAACATACAAATCCAAAAGATATAATCTTTTTTTTAGTTCACTAACTAGTAATTTATACAGAAAAATGAGCAAGACTTCTGGAGAAAAAATATTTCTACATGTTTAGTTTAGTTGAGTTKAGTTTATTAAAGGGATCCCCATTAGTCTTTACCATAGTGGAGATTATTTTTCCTGTGGTTCATCTGTTTTCTCATTTCCTCATTTGTTTCTCATTTTATCTTCTCTTATGTATATTTCTTTCAGTATTTGTTCTATTAAAGGGGGCAGATCATGCAAAATCCACTATTATAGCTGATAAATACATTTTGTTGTGGACTTAGAGTCTCTAAGAGTGCAGAAAAGTTGAATTTAGTTTCTCCTGTTGCAACAAAGATATCTTTGTATTCTGTTTGTGTCATATTTTTCAGCCCGTTCAGTTTTCTCTGTTTTGTATGATGCTTTCTAAACGATTACATCAAATTACCGTATTTGCGATGGAATTACGATAAGGTGTGGACTTAATGACTACAATTTCCTCGTCTTAATTTTCCTCTGGTTCTGGGTCAGACTCAGGCTCCAACATRTAAGGCTGGATAMGTCTTCTGTTGTTGACATCTTTTAATCAAGTTGTAAATAAAATGTTTCTGCAAGATACAAAACGTAACCCCCTCTCTCACACCGGAGCGGACYGGTCTGAAAGTTGGAGGGGGGGCGGAGCTTAATGCATCTTAAAGGAACAGCATCAAATCCAGCTGCTTTGGGACACACAGCAGAACAGGGGTGAAAGAGGGGCTGGTAAAGTTAAAACAAGGAGGAATTCAGACCAAAGCATTTCAGTTCCACTTTATAAAGACCCCAAATGTAGGATTTAAATGTGAAAAAAGATTTAAAAGCATCGTATGTCTACTTTAAAT